TGACCTTAAGTCAGCTTCTGGAGAGAGCCAGCTGTGCCAGCTGTGCAGGTATCTGGTGTGAAGGTGCTGACATTGCCACCAGGTTTGGAGGAAAGCAGGTCCAGATACCCTGCTGCCCTTTGTCCAGTGCAGCTCTTGACTTGCCCAGGGAAGCACTGACGGTTCCCAAATCTCTGTAGAGTTGGCATTTGTGAGGACAGCTCATTAGCTCCCATAATTTTAAAAGGTTTAGTGGTTTTGTGTGGTACCTCCTGCAAAGATCTGAAGCAGATCTTTCTTGCTTGTAAGTCAGTGCAGAGCCTGAAATCATTTCAGCCTCTCTGAAATATGCGTCCTCTGATGTATGAATTCATGAGCTCCTGTATCTTACAGCCACCTAGGAAAAGCTTTATAAGTCTAGATTATCTAATTTTAAATGTCTTAATTTTTTTTTTTTTAATGCTGCTTAAGAGGTTCCTACTGTGGGTATTTGGGGAGAAAACAGAACACTTTTTCATAACTTGTTTAACCACTGAAAGCAGTTGAGGAGCAGATCCCTCACCAGTGTACATAGATTATCCTGTGAGCAGCTACACTAGTCCACACAAACTGAGGGTAGAGCCTGGCCTGTTTTGAATATTATCTCTGTTTATTTGTATGGTCTTTTGCAGTGTAATGACTGCTTCAATTGCATGTGTTTGACAAAACCAGAAAGGGAGTGTGGTTTATTATTGTTTTGATACAGTCTCAAAAGGGAAGCTTTTTACTAGCATTTTAATACAGCCCTTTGTAAACACCCAGCAAAGAAAAATACTGAATCCAATCCTTCTGCTAGTGCAGTCACTGAGTTTCCTGTGGCTTTAGTAGGAGCTGGACTGGGTTCAGTGTATGTGGTACTCTCCAGCATTACTGATAATGAGTTAATGTGTTTTCTATATTGATGCTTTTTGCTGAACAGTGCATCGGCTTTTTATGATTTGGTGAAATATAAAAATAAATTATTTGAAAATTCATTGTTTCTGTGCCTGTTCTTTGAAGATGAGTTTAAATTGTTACAATATAAGATTAAAAAAATGTTCTCAAAGTCAGTGGTAGAGTCTTTGTAGTCATTCCCCAGCCTCTCCATGCCACAAATTGTGTAGTTAAGGGTACGCCCAGCCATCCTCAGCTGCCTGAGCCCTTTTGGATACTCTTCCAGCAGTTCACCCTAATGCCATTGGAGACAAGGAGAAAATGGTCCTGTGTCAACACGCAGCTGGTTTGTTACCAAATGTAAGGGGAGACCACAGGCTGCATGGTCAGGCCATTTTTCCAAATGCCAGCTGGTTAATTTCCTTCATGCAGCATCAGTCTTTCTGTTCAGAGGTGGGCATAAAGGTTCCCAACAGATATTTTGGAGCAAGGAATTAAGAAGAAACAAGTCCACACTATTATCTTAGAGGTTCCTGAGTTATTCCTTGAGGGCAGTTGGTAACTCTCATTTATAGTGCCAAGCTGCCAGCTCTTCTGCTTGTTTCTAAGTGGCAAAAGGCAGAAATGACAATTACAATTGCTGCTATGGGCTCATTTCCAGATCATCAGGGTTGGAGAAATGAAGGGAAGGAAGGAGACTCGAGGCAGTCTTTGGGACGGCCTTTCACTGGTGCTAATGCTGAGTGCATCAAAAGGTTAATGCAAAACCATCCAGTGTCATCTCCCTGTGTCTTTTTCTATCTCCTCTGATCCTGTGGGTATGGATCTTGCTGCTGCTGCAATCAGGTGCTGTCAATGTGCCTGGAGAGGGTGTTGGCAGCTGCCCTCCATCCGTTCACACTGCAGGAATGTGCTGAACACTGTCAAAACAACACTTACCCCTCTTCTGCTGTGGCCTGCTTGTTTCTGCTGTGTGTTAGTTACATACTCTCTGCATCAGGGGATTTAAGCAGCCTTCTACCCTTAGGGACTGCAATTAGTCCATTGTCATGCACAGACCTACTGCTCTCCCCTGACCTTTTTTTGTCTACTGCCCCCCTGACACTGCTCCTGGGAATGCCTCCTACCACTGTCTGCTTCAAAAATTGCACCACAGGTCCTGTCCTACATCACTCCCTCTTTCAGCCCTTTCTATCTGAAACACAGCCATTTACAATTCATATATTTACAGTACAATTGTATTCATTATACAATTGCCCAGAGCCTGTTGGCTGCAGCACATTTGATTTCTGAAGCAATTCACCAGGGTGGCTCCAATGTGAATTCAGGTGAGCATCTCCACTTTTTGCAATAAATTATGTCCTCTCTCTCTTTTTTACTTCTATTGGGAAATTCTCAGGAGTTGTACTGAAGGCAAATATTGCCCAACATGGCCAGCAAGGGGATTATTACCCAACACAGATAATTTTATTTAACTTTAGAGAGCCAAACTCCCAAAGGTGTCATACCCAGAAAAAACATTGTTTAACAAGAATAAGGAGAAATCACATCCAGCTCACAGTGGTGAGGATAAAGCTAAAGAATGAAGGGGCACAGAGGGAAAAGAAGTTGTGTGTGTTTATGCAGTATGGATGAATGGAAAAAGAGCTTCAGTGTGAGAAGGAAATAAAAGAGGTAAGTCCACAGTGAAGTTGTGCAGCAGTAAAGAAATGCAGACCCAGGAGCTGGAATTTTTTCTCCTATTCCCAGTCATGTTGTTGACCCACTTCATTCACTCCCACACGCAATGGCTTTCTCAGCTTCAGTTTCTTCACCTGCAAGATGCCACTGCTCTGCCAGAAACAGGTTTTAGCCTTCGTTTATTTCAAACCTTCTGGCTTCAAAGCAATTTTAGTTTGGCTTTCTGCTGCCTGCCAAGTGTCTGACTGAGCACAGTAAACAATCCTGACCCAGGAGACCTTGTAAAGCCATGGTGAGACCTCAGCAGTGGTCTCAAGATAACTCGAGTGCTGCCTTTTCCCATGCCCAAAACAGTCCCAAACAGAGCCAACACAAAAGCCAAAAATAGCTGTTCCTCTGCTGAATATCCCTGACAGCCCAGATGTGATAGCAGTTCTCCCTCACACCAATAAATTGTGCCCCAACAAGAAGAATGTGGACATTTTCCTTTTATAGCAAGCTCAATGTAAATGTGGTCCTCTCTCCATGCCCTGGGGAGCTGTGCAGGAAGGTGAGCACATGGATGGTCCTCACACCACCTCCATGTTTTCCCTCACAGTCCTAAGAGGAGTCAGCCCAGACCCAGAAAGAAACACCACTGATTTGCCAAAGAGTTTCAACCTGGACATTAAAAAGATCACAAATATTCCAAAAATGCAAACAGAAGTCGAAATCACACCCCTGCCCCATGCAGGTACCAATCTAAACCTTTTCCCCAGAGATTCACCAGCACACAGGTTTAGAACCTTTCTTCTTTATTGCCTAAACAGCAGGGCAGAGGCAGGGTAGAGGGGAGGGAGGCAGGGGTGGGACTCACCCTTTGAGCTGGGGTACCTGAGAGATCTGCACACAGCCCATGAGCCAAACCCTGCTCCTGCAGCACCCTCTGCTTCCCTGGCCAGAGCAGCCCCTGCTGCCCAGGCCAGCTGTGCCCAATGCCTGCCTGGGGCTTTGACAGCTTAGGAGGGGCAGGAGAGCAGCCACTGAAGGCATTTCTGTCTTTCTGTCTTGGGCTGCAATTTTTCTGACTTGTTCTCAATCAAGTTGCTGCCCCCTCTGCTCCTGAGAGAAGGTTGCAGGTTGTGTTCCTGTTTATCCTCTCTTGGTTAAAGTTCTTGGGCTGCTTGGGAGAAGGTTGCTGGGGCACATGTATGGCCCTCTGTTAAAAGAATAACTAGAATTAAAGCACCATTTTTTCTTTTTGATGGTTGCAATGGCAGGGGGAATATAAGCCAAGGTCTTGCAGACATCTTCTCTGCAGTGTTCCCCCCCCCACTTTTTTTTCCCATTTTCTTTTACTTACAGGTTCTGATGTCAATCTTACCTTACAAAATAACCCCAAGCACACATCAGGTGCTAGCTGAGCAGAATCTAAAATGTAAAAAGCTGGTTGAGCTGGTTCTTTGAAGCTCATGAACTTGCAGTCATTTGCTCTCTCACATACCCAGAGCACCATTTCACATGATCTCCATTAACAGGATTCCTTCCAGAGAAAGAAGTGGTGGGACAGTGATGAAGGAACTGTGCATCCAGCACCTTCACAAGCAGTCCATATTATCATGATATAAGGCCTTGGATACTCAGGCATAGCCTCTGTCTGAATACAAGCACTGTCATAAATCTTGCATGTCACCCTGTGGAGTTTATGGACTGAATCAAACCCAGAGGATTAAACTGCTGTTGTGATGATTAAGCTGGGTTTCAATGCTGCTATTTATTATGTTAGGCAAATAAACTATTTTCTGTTTAAATGAGTTTCCATGTTCTTTTCAACACCTGGGAGTCAAGTGAAGCATTAAGAACCAGCTTTTTCCCATGGATGAATAAAATGCGTGAAAGGAAACAAGAAAGCCACTTGCTGGGATTTTACTAATAATCATTTCAGGTGTATAAATATAGCAGCTTGCCAAGCCTTTGGCCACCAGAGCAGTGTCTGTGCGATGGCTCAGCTTTATTTTAATCTTTGCAGAATAATTCTTAGGAGGCTTGAGAAGAAAGATGGTTTGGTATCTAAAGTCTTGACCCAGAAGACTTTTCTTCTGAGTTTGCTGCTGCCTGCACAGATCAATGTATTTCTCTTTCTGCTTTTGCTCCTCATATCAGCATCTTACAAACTCTGGGTAGCCACATCCAGATACTTGTTTGCTGTTCAGGGTGAAGGAGCACGAGTTTGGTGGGACCTCAAGGCATTAGTATGAATGTTTATTGGTGTGAAACAAAGAAAAACAACAAAGAAGGAAAAAGGAGAGCAAGTGTTTGCTGGATGATGCACAGCAGGGGTGATTTCCTTGCTCTTTGAGGTGGATGCTCATGTGTTCCTTGCATGTGGCTGCAGTAGGCTGGGAGCTTTGCACTGATGTTTCTCAGCAGTGTCAGGCTGGAGGATGCTGCTACTGCCTCAGAAACCAAGTCCAGCACCTCTGAGCAACGTGTCTTATGTGCAGAAAGAAGATGACAAGTCGGGATTGAAATTCCTCCAGGACTGTGACATCCTGCTTCATGCTGGTGAAGTAGAGACTCACAGCAAGGATCAGCAGTGCACAAAACAAGAGCCACAGGAGCACAGGCAATCCAGATGATGTCCTGTCATCTGCTGAACGGTGATGAGAAGAAAAAAAGGAAGCAGCATTATTTTAGTGCCATCTTAAACGCTTCCCAGATTTGATCCCCTGCTGTTGCCTTTGTCCCAGTTTTGTGGCAGCAGCAGGGTACAGAGGGCTCTGGTGGTGAGCACTTCTCTAGGCATCAGTTAAGTGATAGTGAGTCACACCTCCTGATGGAAGGTGGTGAGTATGAAAGATATCATTAATGGAGCATTTAGAGAGTTTAATTATATACAATAAGAACAGGATTAGCATAGCTAATGCATGATCTCTACTTCCCCTACAGCAATTATTTTTTGTACCTTTACCCTAAATGTTAAGTTGAATGATAGGAGAATATGAAGCTACTTGGTCTAATTATTTAATGTTCACAAATGCCCCATGAAAGAGAGAAGCTATAGATTTCTGTCCTTTTCCCTGGTAAGTCAGCTTGTTTGGGACTCCTGCTAATTCTGGGAAGAACCCAAACGTGGCTCCATTAACCAAGAGGCATGTTCAGAAAGCTCTGGCAGTTTGAACCACTATGTTTGAGTGCTATGTGTGCTAATTACACCACAACATCCTCTGCACTTCCTCTTCAGCAAGAGGACACTGTAAAGATTTTTCCTGCCTTCGAAATATTTTTCAAACGTGTTTAAAGGTTGGGCACAGCGCACATGTGGAAACCAGAGGGCTGCATTCAGCCTGCTGACAGCTGTGTCCCAGCCCTTGCCTGTTTATATCCATCCCTGGGCCTTGGGGATCCAGGTTTGATTCAGCCCTGGCTGCTCTGTCTGACTGCATGGCCATTGCACACTCGGCACTATTTCATAAAGCACTTAGAGTATTAAACATGCAGTATAAAGCCAAATTCATGCCTGAATAAAACCCATAGTGTGCAGCTATTTTCCTGCCATATGCACATAATCAATAAGGAGATAAAAATGTGGAGTGTATTATTATGGGTAAAGGGCCAACATTAGCTGTAACATATTTAAATTAGCTTCTACTCCGAGCCCTGGAATACACACCAGTCAATTAAACTGTCACACAGATGTACAGAGAGGAAGGTAAAAGTCATAAAACCAAGCCAGAAACACATAATAATGTATCAAAAAGTGTATGGGGAAAAGGTAAAATGTTAATAGGCAGTCATTTTATAGCTAACCAGAAACCAAATCAATGTCCCATAATAGACCTGAGTGAATTATTTGCAGCAAGTAATTTATTCATTTGAATTTAGCCCTTCTTTCTGTTTTCAAATTATCCATGTGCAGGCTTCAGATTTTATAAATTTGTTTATTTGGCATTATTCTATGCAGGGTTGATATAAAGGTGTTTAGCCAGGGAATTGCTCACCATTTTCTGGTTTTGCAGAGATTTGTGAGCTGGGAATTGGTGTTTCCCTTTGTGAGATTTCCCACACCACAGGCTGCAGCTCCTGACTGGGTGCCCCACCTGCCTTTTCCAATGTGGGGCTTGGCTGATGAGCACACATGGGAGCAGGGAAACCTTCCTGTGGAAGCTGAACAGCTTTTCACATCAACCCTTTCATATGAAGTGCTTTTAACCTGATTCAACTTTTTAAAAGTTACTTTCCATGTGAAATTTCTGGGAGATCTCAAATGTAAACTTGGGCTTTCCTTATATCCTCTCAGTCATGAAATATGTTCTATCTGTGAACGGAAGAAAATAATGCAGAAGGATAATTCCACTTGCAAAATTGTGATGAGTTAAGCTCACAACAGCTTCAGCCCATCACTACATTTAGGTGTTGAAAATCAAATTTGCTTTTCTAGATTACAATTAGAAATTTAATGCTTAAATTTGTTAGTTAAATTGCTTGTTGGAAGAGCACAGACCTGTGCCCAGTCTTATGGTAACTCATCTGAGAAGAGCACTGGACCTGAATACAGGAGATTTTGTTTCAGTTCCTGCCTTGAGTACACATTTCCCCTGTGGCCTGAAGAATATTTGATATTTGCTTTTCCCCAAGGCCCTTTCTGGCTGTAGTACCCTGATTCCAGCCCAATAACAGCCCTAGATGATGCTTCCATTGTCATGAGCACACAGCCCCCATTCCTGGACAAGAGCAAAAGCTGAGGGATATGGGGACATCTCCCTGAGAGGATTTTTGTCCTCCCAAAACTACAGCTCTGTGTGTGTATATAATACATGTGTACAGGAGCCCCTCTCCCCTTCACTGCCTATAGCAGGGGCTGCATGTTGTCCAGGGCCTTTAGAAATGATCACTATCATCAGAATATCCACATACACTCATTTGCTTGGGGGTCTGTGAGGCTGCCAGGCCTCAAAACCCGATTATTTTTATTATTTCTACCCTGCTGATAGAATATAAATGAATTGTCTCTTCCCCTCATACAAAACTCAGCAGGGAGAGCTATTGTTTAGCTTGGGGTGCTTTCCCTGCATATCTTAGTGAGAAACCTGCACCTATTCAAATGCCATAAAATATATTAATTATATTTAAATTAAAAATAGCTTCAGGGACTTAATTTTTGTTTCCACTATTTGTTTTACTAGATGTCTTGTTTAAAATTGCACCAGACCTCATCAGCACCTTGTGCTGCTTATGCTGAGAAGAAAAAGCAGCAACCACTGACAGCACAAACTGCTGTGCATATGGAGGGTGTATTTGCACAGAGCATCCCACCAGCTGCAAAAGCAAAGTCAGGTTAATGCTATGGATGGCTCACAGTTATAATGTGAAAAATTCAACTTACCCACTACGTAGTCACAGCAGGAAATTACTAGAAAACAAAATGAAAATGTTTTTACTTGCCTGGAAAGGTCTCTTGGCAGCGGGGTGAACAAGAAAAGCCAGGACCGAGCAGTGTCTCTGAAATTTCCTGTCACCTTGGAGATGCTGGGCAACCTCTTACACCACTTTTGGCTCTGGGTGAGCACCTACCCAACCCATGCAAACATGCAGATGCACTTCAGGAAAGTGAGGAAAAATTATTGTGTGAGGGAATTCAGAGACAGGAGTGCTACTGTTGCAGAGAGGTCACGAAACAACTCTGCTAAAACCCCTCCCTACTCCACATAATTCCTAGAAAGGAAAGGATTTTTACCAGCAGGCTGAAAGAATGAAAGTTAAGAGAGCATTGTCAGGCTAACTTTCATCAACAATATCCTGGAAATGTGTCTGCTTGGCAGCCAGGCCCAGACACAATCCAGGATGAAAAGTCCTGGATTGGAAACGGAAAAATTTCAGTGGTGCCAGAAACCTTCATTTTACCAGCCTTAATGTGAGTAATATTGTGTGGACAAACAGCAAACAATCTCAACCACAAACTGTTTGCAACACAGAATACTAATTAGGGGTTGGAACTATGGGATTGAATTATGGGATTTCTCATGTCTCCATGAAAAAGAGTCTCAGAGTTTTCTCCATGCTCACAGCTCCCTGCATGAGTTCAGTGTGGCTTTGCTGAAGCCAGAGCCAGGGGGAAACCAGCCTGGTCCCCTGGGCTGGGCTGACTGCAGGATCCCAGTGCTGATGTGGGGCATGGACCCTGGCACAGAGCTGAGGGAGTTATTAATTCCCATCAGAATCCTGCTCTTGAGCACTCAGATGAGCTTTGAGGAGTTTAAGCCTGACTGCCTGAGTCTCTCCAGGAGCTCAGTTTTTGTGGGAAAGCCCAGGCCATGTCAACAAGCTTATCAAGAAACACCTTCCCCTTCATGCATCAGGAGGCATCCCAAACAATGCATTGCCAAACAAGTGAGAGTTCTGTTTATAGACACAGCAGATGCCAAGCCTTATTTTCAGAAGCTGTAGCAGTCCAAACAGGTGGCTGACAGAAATTTTACCATTCTGCCACCTGTGTTTTGACCAACTGACATATCAAACCCATATAATTTTAGTTCTATACCAATAAATACAATTTTCTTGGCTGGATGGGTTTGGGAAAGTCAGAAGGTAACACCAATTATTATTTGATATGGCATACAGCATGTGCAGAGGTGCAAACTGGATCCTTGTGCCAGACCTCTCCTGAAGGTCACTCCCAGCTGACCTAATTGCAATATTTTGGCTCATGAATGAAAGGTTTTGTTAGCTTTGTCAGTCCTTAAGTGCCTTTGCTGGCAGAAGTTATTACATCCTGGCTGCTAGGCTCAGGCCTCTGCTTGCTGTATTCTGTGGCATGCTAGTTACCCACAGTGACATAATTATGTTTAAATTTGGTCTGAGTGGAAACATTGCTCTGGGGAAGCCCTGGGGCCCAGCCAGGCCCAGGGTGTACAATGACCCCTGTGGGGGCTGACTCAGGAGTCACTGTGACAGCAGCTGGGGGTGAGGCAGGAGCCTGTCCACCCCAGGGCATGCAGGCAATGCACCAGATGCAGTTCTGCAGAGCACAGAGCAAACATCATCCATCCTCTGCTCTGTGCTGAGCTGAAAATCACAAATTATCACAGGGGGAAGATGATGTGGACAGACAGACAGGGTGGATGTTAAAAGCTGGAAAAGTCATGCCAAAATTCCTGGTAGCTTGAGCATACCATGTTCAATGACTTCCTCTGGCTCACGAAACCGAACCCTGCGCTCTGCTCTCCGCTTCTCCCCCACAGCTGGGTCCACAGGTGGCCTTTTCCTCAGTATGGAAGGAGGAGAGCTGCTGTCATCTGTCTAAAGAGTGGATCAAAACACAAAACATGTCACCATCCAAACAGGGTGAAGTATTTGGGTGAAGTTTTGATCTTTGGTGGCTGTGTTACCGTGTCCCTTGAAGGACATGATGTGTAACACCTCAGCTTGGACAGACCACTGTCATATTTACAGCCAAACAAAAGGGATATTCCTACATTGCCATAGATCTGCAGTACTCTAAAGCTGTATTCTCAGGGAAAAGGATAGGTAAAGCAACGGACAGCAAAATGTTCAGAAAGGATTTCTCTAAATTGTAACAAATATTTGCTGAAGGTGGCTGCTCAACAGCCTTGGGCTGTTCTTAGAAGCACATAAATGTGATATGAAATATATGAACCATATCATTTGGAGCACCTTTGAAATGTTCTGAGCTAAGCAGTTCCACTCAGAATGCAGCATTATCATTACCCATAGTCAGCTGGGACTATGCAGCTGACTTGGGTTTGGACGCTCCTGATGGGTACAAGAAGGTAATTTATTTGCATTTCAATATAACAATTATGATGTTGCTCTGTTTTTCTCTTGGAAACCACATTTAGTCCTTGACAACAGAATCATAATGCTGTGGATTCTTTGAAATTACAAGAAACAGAGCTGCAATAACATTAATAACTCACTGTTCTGCATGGGAATGCTCCCACAGTTAACTGCCCAAGGTGAATCCAAAGAACCTTGATTCAGACCACCCACTGTCCTGTGGCAGTAGAGAGCAGATGGCAAATTTTCTGTTTTTCAGAGTGAGGGGTAGAGATTCTTAACATTTTACTTTTAAGACTGAAATAATCTTCTCTAGCCCTTTCCATCTCTCCCCTCTGTTCCTCTGATAGATAAAGGTTATTATTTCTTCTGAATTTCTCTTTGCTCCCTTTCCTCCCCCCTTGTTTATTTTTCCCCCAGTCAGTGATTGCGTGCTCCTTACTTCAATTCTTCTCCTTGCTTTAATCTTTCTACTCCTCAATTATCTACTTTTATCCTTTTTTTGACCCAAATGCCATTTCCTTTCCTTCTTATTGGATGCTTTCCCCATGCTCACCATTTCACACACCCACTCCTTGGGCTGCAGGATCAGGATTAGGTCCCAGTGACTGCAATTCAGGGGTGTCAGACCCCACAGTAAAGGGGATAAATAGATTTTCTTACACATCACATTCTGGATAACTTCAAAAGACATATTGCATAGCCAGCAGGAACTGCCATGGGGAGAGGAATGTCTTTGATCCCTTCTCCTGAGAGATTCATAAAACCAATCTCGTCACTGATAAGGATTATTTCTCTGATCCTGGGGTCATATCACCTCTGTCTCATGACTGGGGACAGTGTGTGTTGCAGCTTTGTGTTTTTCATTCAGCAGCTAAGAATCTGGAAGCCCCATTCAGGTTATGGAAAACCTGGATTTCACTTCTTTCTGAGTCCAAAGAAATACAAAGCTACATCTTATATACACGCCCTCATCATCACGGTTATGGTGCACACATGGGAGCAGGGAATCTCAGTCTCTGCCACTGGAGCTGTCTTGTTTGGCCTTGAATAATTAAATATTCATTGACCTAAAGAAAGAAAGAAAGAATGACTTTACAGCCTCGTGTTTGGGTGCTCCCTTGGGGGTGGCAGAAGCCTGCTCCTATCCTTGCTCCAATGAATACTTAATATGTGATACTTAAATATTCATTGGAGCAGTCACTGGGAACAGGGTCTCTCATCTGCCAGGTGAACACCCCAATCCCTCTGCAACAGCCACACACACATTACTCACATAATGAATATTTGATTATTCTGTGTAAAATGAAGCAGGTTTAGGGAGACACAGCCTAGCTCAGGCTGGGGGTGGTTATAGCTATGAGGGCTTCTCCTGTGGCACGACCAAGGAAACTGAACCTTGTATTTGAAGAAATTTATAACTCCAAGTGCAGCTGTTGCCCATATGAGCTTTTCCAAACACTTAGCAGTGACAGCACATCAGAAGGGAAAAACATGAAACAGCTGGATTGTTGGATAGTACGTAGCCAAGGCAGATCTTAAAAAGGAAGTGATTTCATGATATTCACTACGTTAATAGCTTACAGAAATCAAAGCTACGCATTGTCAGAATGAACAGAACACTGCCCCCTCAGACAGAAATCTGGTGTTAGCATAGTGTGACAAGAGTTAGAAACCTACCAAAGTGATAGCTGGGCAATTTTATGACCCTAAAAACAACCCATCTGTAACAAGATGCAGGCACTGCACACAGGGACCTCATCCCCCATGAGAAGATAACTTACCTGCAGCTCTTTGGCACTAGCATCAGGAAGTGAGGCTGGACATACTTGGGACATGTACTCTGGATGCCAACATGAAGCCTCCCACATGAAGCTTTGGATGGAAAGCCTCTTGCCCAGAAACTGAGAGGGAGCAGGGAAAAGCTTCAGGAGCCCCCTGAGCAGGGGAACAGAACCAGCAGTGGCACCGCGCAGACGGGAGAGGAGAGGAGGATGAGGAGGGGGAAGAAGAGTTTGTGTCCTTTGTACCAGGGCTGGCGTGGGAAGGATGAGATGCACTCAGGAGCCAAAAATAGCACCCAGTGATAACACTGGCTGTGCAGCTGGAAGCAGGGCTGCTCTGGCAGCGGGAGAGGGCCTGAATGGAGCAAGTCACAGATAAACACCTACGTGTTTGTTCTGCCGGAATGTGAATTGGGGGGTGGTTTTTTAATGGCAATTGCTGCATTTCTGTGATTATGTTGGATTCCTTCCCAGAATCCATTCCAAATCACAGAAACCTTGCAAGTGGAATTGATTTTAATCCTTCTTCTGTTCAAAAGATGTGGGTAAAGTCACCAGCAAATTATACAAATATAGTGGGAAGACAGATATCTCCCTCCAGAACAGTTATGGCCTCACTTTATATGTTTTACAAATTAAATCCATTATTATAGTAATAAAGTGGGATTTAAACATTTGACATTTCTACTCATATTATAATAAGATTATTGATAGAAAGAGAGGTGATTTACTGTTCAAGAGACTTTAACAGTCCCTTGTCAAATACTGAAGGCTGGGCATCATCAAATATACAATTTCTAGTTAGAAATACCTGCCATGATTGCTGATATATACTGGTTTGTTGTCCCTGCAAGCACAACCTTGTGTTTTTATTTTGTTCTTTTCCTGGAGCTATTTATTTGCAGTGCCATGTGTAATGTACATGGTTTGGTTTTATAGCAGGTGGTTGGATGGATATTTCCATGTCATGTTGAGGCTGGCCCTTGCTCTGCAGGGCAGAGAGGGTGGCAGGATGCTCATACTGGCAGGATGCTCATACTGGGAACCAGGGGGCACAGCTCCTCTCTGGGCTTCACTACTTACTCACTTCCTTTCAGGGATTTGGGGAATGGGTGAGTAGATGGAAAGAGTTGGGATCCTCACCCAGAGGAAACTGGGACAGAGCAGCAGAGGAGGCTTCTGAGGCTGATGTGGGGTCAGAAAACCCCTCAGGACTTGCTGCCCTCCTGCAGCTCAGCCTCTGCATGGGTGCACTGTCCTCAAACCTGTCCTTGGTGACATCAGCATCCAAGTGGAGAGGAATAGATTTTGCTGGTCTAGGGCTCTCCACTGAATGCAACATATTAAAAAGTCCCCTGAAGAAAGTTACCTTACCTTCTCTTTCCTGTGCATTGGGGTGATGGAGGGCTTTTCCTCATGCTGAAACCAGCTCACAACTGCAGGCCTTGTGAAATGCTTCCAAAATCCCCTCTCTGCTGTGTCCTGCAAGTGTTCCACAGAAGTTATTTCAGGAAATCTTTTGGTGGGGAAAAGACAGTCTTTTAAAATTTGTTCATAGTAGATCCTAGACAGAAAGGTGACAAAACCTGTCAAACCATGGTCCCTGGCTTGTCTGGCTCCTCCTTCCTCCTGTTGTGATAATCACTTACTACTAATTCATGTAAGAAGGAATTTACCTGCCTGCTTTGGCCAGCAAAACTGATGAAGGTGGGATTAGGGAAGTCAAAGTCTAGTAATCATCTAGCTTTGATTGTGTCCATGGGAATTGTCTCATTTGTTTTCATTAGTGTCACCCAGCAAGGCACATAAGAAGGTCTTGTGCAGCCTCTTATTCTGCAGAGTGGGGGGCAATGCACTTGTCAGCTTTTACATCTGAATAAAAAACCTTGTTCACGTCTTCTTCACTGAACCTGGCTTTGTTCAAAGGAAGGTTTTACAGTTTTCTTAGTATTTGGTCAAAGATATTTTGGTAATTAAAAAAAAAATCAAAAAACAAAAAACCACAAATGGGAATTGTTTTATTCAAGAAATGGACATATAGAGACAAAATTTATAATTTTTCATGCCAGAAACCATTTCTTTTCAGTTCTAGATTCCCCTTAAATGTAAACAATTTTTTTTGTTCATTTGATTGAAAAATAATTGGGCAGCTTATAAATGTTTTCATGAAAGATTGCTATTTAAATGCCAGGGATGATAATTTCATCGTGGCATTCTCACTTTTATCTCAAGATGTGCTAATTATATTGATAGTAATGGTTGTAAATGCTTGAATAATTAGTAGTTACCTGGGCACTCAAGTTTCAGTGGATAAAGATGTCAGGAGTTCAAATCTCATGACAGGGACAGTTCCATTCCTATTAAGTGCTTTTGATTGTAGTTTAACAACCTAGAATTGGATATATGTTAGGAATATAACACAGCCCAATGCTTAAAGTAAAAGAATCCAGGAAAATAACTTCTCTAGCCTCCGAAATCACTGATAATAAATAATAGTTATTGTAGTGGATGATTTCTGCATTAAAAGCTGTAAGAATTTCCTTTAATATTTCCCTTCTTTTTAAAGTAATTTTTCATCTAAGATTTGATCTCATTTCATGCAAAGTACGTCAGAAACAAAGCTGGACAAATAATTCATAAATGAATTATTTAGCTTGTGAGTGTCACCTCTATTTCTTCCAGCTAATTGTTCACAAATAGATAGTGACTTTTGTCAATGTATTCATTATTCAGATTTATTCAGTGGATAATTGCTGGGAGTAATTCTTTGTCTGTAGATTGCTTGGAATCATTTTGCTGTGAACATTTAATAGTAAAAATCTATCCAGGCTTTCAATAAAAGACAAACTAAAATTATCTATAACTACTGATGTAGCCCTTAAACACGAACAATATAATACAGTTTTAAAGAGCAACACCAACATTTTAATCAAGAAATCCACTACTTCCCATGCTACATAGGAGAGAAAGCAAAAACATTTCAACTCTCTGTGTAGCACTGACATTGAATGGTGCACATTGTATATGCAAATAAGTTTTTACAAGAAAAGGGATGCTTAAGTGTTTGCTCAGCAGAAAAACAAAACATGCCTAAACAAAACATGATTGACTTCCCAGAGAATAAATATGAACAGTCCACACAAAGGAATTAACTGCACAGCCAGTATATTTTTCTGCAATACCTCAGTGGAAGATGTCTAGGAAATAAACATAACATGATAAAACAATTTTACACTCAGAGGATAGCCGTGTAACCATATGAACTCTTTTTCCATTTCCTTCTGTGGGAATAAATATTTTAGACAAGCAAAGTACTTTGTAAATGATGCCTTTGTGGGGATTCATCTGGCCTGGTTCAATTATTCTGAAACCCAGCAATTTTCTCATATCATTGAATCTGCTTTTATTGCAAATAGGGTCATAGAAATAGTCACTCATTGCAATAATGGACTTCGTTTATCTTAACTATTAACACTTGCAGTAGGTTTACACACACACACACACACACACGTATATATTCAATATTTATGGATATGCACAGTGCATATATATTAATAATGAAGTAACTTTATCTCCAACAATCTGAAAACAAAATCACGTAATCCCATACAGTGTGGGGTGCAGTGGTAACTGGAAGCAGCATATCAGGATAACAGAACAGAAAAGAAATAAATAAATTAGAGGGGAGTCTTCCATATCTTCCTCAACTTCCAGGGTGTCAATTGAGCCTTTGTTCAGTATTCCACCTTTCGCGGTTCTGTGTACTCTTGATTAATAATTTAGAGGTGCACCTTTTGGAAGCAGGGTAAATTTTGTGTTTGCCAAGAGTGATTTTCCACTAGTCAGGGAGTACATCAGGAAATAAAACAGCAAATTGCCCCACAGAGTATAATTAGTTGTTGCCTCCTTCCTTTTTCTGCCTCTGGAGAAACAGATTTACTGCTGAGAGTTTTGGGACACCCATGAGATGTTATACAGCTCCATTTCTTCTCCTCAACCTTCCAGTAAAGAAAGCACTGTGTAAATCCCAGCCTCAAGACAAAAATCAGCTCTTTGGACTGTATGTTTCCATTGAACATCCAGAAGGATCATAATTAATCTGTTGTCTGTTGGTCAATCCAAAATGGGGTTTTTTCATGGAGTTGGTGGAAAAAAAAATCAACAGCAAAGCATAATGGAAACAGAGCACTGAATGGGAAGATGATCTGGTAACACTTGGTGTGTGTAGCCAGCCAGGATGAAAGCAATCAGTTTTCCTTCCTGTATATCTGCTAGTTCCTGTGATGGCCAGAGAGCTGTGAATCCAGGTGTGGTTTTTCCAAGGGAAGTGCAGTTGTGATCAGTGCAAAGTGCAGCACCAACAATCCCTGTGGTGCTCCATGAAGGACCCACAGGATTCCCTCCCAGTGGGACCTTTTTGCCCTTCAATTATTACTGCTCTGTGCTGGAAGTTTTCATGGTCACACAGATCTGTAAGGCCCCCTTTGATGGAGGTGGGCAGACCTGGGCCATTCACGCAGGGCCTGTGGGCCTGGATTGCTAAACTTTGTAAAAATTGTGTCGGGGTGGTGCTGCTGCATGTGGCTATCTGCTCCATCTCAGCAGAACTCACTTCTGAAGGCAGAGTCATGGCCCTATTTGCAGATGTATCATCTTAGGATTGTTTTGGAAAAGCTTTTTAAGGTCAGTGAGTTAACCCAGTGTTAACCCAGCCCTGCAAAGGCCAGCGCTAAACCACATCCCCAAGTGCCACATCTAAATCTTTTAAATACCTCCAGGGACCACAACCCAACAGCTTTTCTGGGCCGTCTGTTCTATTGACAACTCTTTTGGTGAAGAAATTTTTCCTTATATCCAATCTAAACCTCCCCTGGTGCAATCTGAGGCCTTCTCCTCTTGTTCTATTTCTTGTTAATTGGGAGAAGAGGCCAACACCCCCATCTAAAATATTTTTCCAGGTAGTTGTAGGGTGTGAGAGGGTTTCCCCTGACCCTAATTTTCTCCAGTCAAAACTGGAGCTGCTTCCTCAGCATAAATCTTGTGCTCCAGACCCTCCTCAGCTCCATTGTCCTTCTCTGGACCTGTTCCATCACCTCAATGCCTTTCTTGTAGTGAGTGGCCTAAAACTGAAACAGGACTTAAGGTGCAGCCTCACCAGCACTGAGTGCAAGGGGACCATGTAGCAAATTCTTCAAAGTGATAAGCATGTTCCTGGAGCTGTGGCACCAGTTTAAAATCCGTATTTTGCACAGGTTTTTCCTTGTTTTAAACTGGGCTCTTTTCTAAGACAAATAGAAGCACTGAGGAGAAGTGTTGCAGGGCTTTGCATGATGGTGAGAACATCCCTGCTGCAGGGCAGAGCAAACTCTGCTCTATTTGGACTGACTGGAAGTGATTTAACTCTGTTGAGGAATTTGGTCTCAATTTATTCCTGGCATGAGTTCATTGACTTATAAAAGGCATGAATCTCTCTCCATTTCTTAAAATTGCCTCTCTTATTCATGTATCTTTCTGGGTAGATGTTACAAATAACCACAGAGGACTTGTGATGATGTATAGTAAACATAGAGAGAATTTCTGGCTGCTGAAATGAACTTTCTAAATAATTACAGAATGATTCCACATCCATTTCATAATTAGACTCCTGAGATTGCAGCCAAGCTATTATTTGTGATTCAACATGCATTTTTATTTTAGAAATGTACCACAGCCATTAGGTTTATTCCACCTGAGATTTTCTAATTTGTTCTGATCATCCTGTCACTGGGACCTAAAATGTAAAATATGTATTGATTGAGTAAGAGTTACCAAGGAACAAAATGCTAATTTCTGCTGTTGTCTCTCTGATTCCAAATCAATCAGTCCTGTTGATGTGGGATGTAGGAGATGGACAGGGCTGGAGTGAGTGAGGTCATTCTTAGTCAGCTTTTGTTACACACTCTTTGTATTTTAGGAATGAAATCTAGTGGAGCTGTAATTTCTGCCCACAGCATTTGGGCTGCTGTTAATGGCAGGGCTGCCATCAGCCATGAGATGAATTAGGAGAAACCACTGCCAGCAGGAGGACATCTGAGCTGGCATAAAAGAGAAAAGGCATGCAAAGAAAACCCCTTAGAAACAGGGAAAGTGGAATTATCTTCAGGAGTTGTATTTTAGCAGTAATCACTCTGTGCTTGATGTTGTGTTCACTGCCCACATTCCCTGGTGAGCTTTGACCTGAGGAGAAATCCAGCAACGATGACTGCAGGTTACAGCCTCAAAAGGGGATTAGTGGTTTTGTCTTAATCCCAGGTATCAAAAGACTCCAATTGACTTCTATGAGCCACTGTGCCTCCCCTAAAAAGGATTTTAGAAACCTGGCAGTCATTAATGCCAAACTGGCCCTGAGAGGG